TTAATTATTATAATTAATAATTACACATATTTATGGGGCACACTGTTCATATTTCAGTATGCATATATAGTGTGTGGTGACAACTTTCAGAATCCCCTCTTGTTGCTGTTCTGAGAATACATTACTGTTGCCCGTGTGCAGCCACGGTGCTGCAGCACACCAGAACTCTTTCTTCCATCTGGTGTGACCTTGCTGTCCTCGCTGCTCCCCTTTCCCCTCTCGGCCGCCTTCCCAGCCCCTGGTGACCTCTGCTTCCTGAGCTCTACTTCTTTAGACTTCACAGAGTGTGGATTTTAACTACTTTGACAAGTTACTGCCATTATAAGGAATTCCTCCTACTAGAACTTAGTAATATCAAATACTATTTGAATTTGACTATTTCTTACTGATTAGAAATGTTTTCAGAGTTTTGTGATGTCATTTGATTTAAAGTAATTTAAATCAGAGGTTAACCTGTGTTAATTTAGACCAAATTAAAGACCTTTGTGGTTTAGACTTTGAAGAGATAGATCATTTGCAACCTTTATAGTGTAATTAGTTTTAGGATTTGGAGAAACTTATTATTATTATTTTTTTTAATAGAAAAGTTCTGCTTTGTAGCCCAGGCTGGGCTTGAACCTGCTGTGTCTTCATGCTGGGATTTATGTGTGAACCACCTTGCCTTGCTGATTGGGGTTTTTTGAGCCTGAAAATGCTTTTTCTGAAACATGACATATTACATTTTTTCAAAGTTTGTTGACTATACACATCGTATCTTTTAAACTTTTGTTTTATTTTAAAATTTTATTTGACTTTTTAGTTTGTTTTGAAATAGACTCTCATTTTGTGGCCCAGGCTGGTGTCAAACGTGGAATCCTCCTGCCTCAGCCTCCCAAGTGCTAGGATTATAGATGTGTACCACCACACCTGGCTGAAATATATCTTAATAAATACGTTCATATAACTAAAACAAAAATTTAAAGAAAATACCCATACTGTTTTCTGTTCTCTTTTCCTTGGGAATAGAGGAAGGATGGAACTGAGGGTGGCACATGCAAGGCAAGTGCTCTTAACACTGGGTACATTCTCAGTCCTCTGTGGTGAGTTTGTTTTATTTCATTTTTATAAAGCTAGTCTGAAGATTGGTGGGGGGAGCTCACTAATGACTTTGAGCTAAAGTTTAAAGCTAAAGAAAAGTACTGCTTTCGGGCGTAAGCATTTTGGTTACATAGTAAGGAGGGCAATCAAAGAAGAAATTGAATTTTTGGTTTTGGTTTGGGTGCTGGGGATTGAACCCAGGGCTGGAAATCAGTCAAACTCAGAGCCTCATGCATGCTGAGCCCAAACTCTACCACTGAGCTGTCTTGGTGGTTGGTTTTGGATTTTTTTTTTAGACAGGGTCTTGCTGTATAATCCAGGCGGACCTCAAGCTTGCACCAGTCCTCCTGCCTCAGCCTCCCAAGTGCCGGGGTCTTAGGCGTGCACCACCGCACTCATAACTGCGCTGTGCTTCCTTGATGGGCAGGAGCGTCTTGGATACATAGCTGCAGCCCTCACAGTGTGGCGCTCAGGGAGGGCAGGACCTCAGCAAGAAACACGGCGAACTTGAGCGCAGTGTTTCTCGAGCTCGGGAAGCGCAGCTGCTGTGTGCCCGGGCAGTGTGATGTTTTGCGAAGAGCCCTGCAGTCCGCGCACCAGGGTTACAGTGGCCTTGTAACAAACTCACTGTTACTTAACCTCTTTGGACCTCATATGTCTTAGATGCTGGCAGCTGTCTCTCTGGTAAATGTTTTTTTTTTTTTTTTTTTTTTTTTTTTTTACTGAACCGGGGATTGAACTCAGGCCCTTGCGCTTGCCAGGGAAGCGCTTATTCCACTGAGCCATCTCCCTGGCCTCTCTCTCTCTCTCTTTTTTTCTTTTTTTTTTTTTTTTGAGTAAATGTTAAGGGCCACCTGGTGCCAGCAGTGGAAGTTAACACCACTGAGGTGTTGCTCCTGACCTCAATACCTCTTGTTACCTGCCTATAGCTACCTGTCTTTAACCCTAAGGTGCTGGCTAGGTAGGGTGGTGCATGCCTATAGTCCCAGCACTTCAGAAAGTGAGGCAGGAGGATTCCTGGGAGTTTGAGGCCAGTCTGGCTACGAAGTGAGTTTAAAGACAGCCTGACCCTGTCTCAAAAAATCATGCAGTCCCTCTCCCCCTCTTTTTTTTTGCGGAACCGGGGATTGAACTCAGGCCCTTGGGCTTGCCAGGGAAGCGCTTATTCTACTGAGCCATCTCCTCGGCCCCTCCCCCTCTTTCTAAACCCATCCATGTCTGTTCAGGTAGAGGCGGGCACAGACAACGGTTAGACGCCCTCTGCTGTGGGCGAGGCTGTTTAGCGTTCTTCAGAGAAGGCATTTTACAGCAGTGAAACGGACAAGGCCAAAGCTGGTTCCCATAAAACAGAAGCTGTGTAAGTGGGAGGGCCACAGCCTGGCCAGGGGGAAAACCAAAACGCCTAGATGCAGTAACTCATATTTTGAGGGTTTTTCCTCACAGTGACTGTATGACATTGACTTTAGCCTGTAGAATGTCACTGCTTGAATTTTAGATTTCTCCTAGTGACCCATAAATTGAGATCATTTTCTTTCGGTGCTAGGCATTCAACCCAGAACCTTGCACTAAGCTACATTCCGAGCCATTTTTTATTTTCTTTCATTTAAGTTTTGTGTCATTCTTTAAGTCACTAAATTGCCCAGACTAGGTTCATGTTTGTAGCAATATTTTTCAGCGTAATGTCCTTGCATCCTCCTGATGTCGTAGAGGAGGGGATGCCATCTCTATTCTATTGAGAAGTCAGGCATGGTAACAGGAAGCCCCGGTTACCTGCAGTGAATGAGTGCACAGCTATTCACTAACCCTGCTGTGTCTTCTACCGTGTTAAAGTGTGACGCCAAGGCTTCGTTGCAGGACACCACCTACAGCCCACCTGCTGCACGGCCGTGTAGGTTTCGCACTGTGCAATTCCGCGAGGCAGGGGTTTGCATACTTCTTGCAGCAGAGGGCTGTCCTGTTTCTGCCTTCCACAGGGACATCCCAGCCTGCCTCTCCTGAGTTAGGTCACTGATGGCTGAGGCCCTCACGGGGGAGGGGATGCTGCATGCCAGCCTGTGGGAGACGTCTGAAGATTTGGTCTGGGCTTTCCCTTTTCAGGTGGGCTCATGTACCAGAAGTATGTGTGGATTTTGCCCCAAAATGAAAACTGCTCTAAGAGGAAAATCTCTTTTTTGTAGTGGGCAGAAGGAAGTTACAGTGACAGCAAATGCTGAAGTAGAGGGCCTGGAGATGGGAAGTGTGATGGAGGAAAGCACTGGAAAGTCTTCGTTGGAGTAGGGGGCGGGTGGGGACAGACTGTCGAACCCCTTACACACCCATTGTAGGAATTGACATCAGCAGATACACCTCTGGATAGTTATGTCAACTCCATCCAGATGTTGAGCGCTTTGGAATTGTTGGAGGTGTCGCTTCTCCTAGTCACCATGGAGAAAGAGTGCTGCACTTTTGGGTCCACCTGTGGGAGCACCCCGTGCATCACACTTCTGTCTGTAATGCCTCTTCACTCCCAACCTAGGACCAGAGAACATAGGTGAAGTTGAAACCCTGTGATGTACCTTCACCCAACATCTTTCAGGTCTGTTCTCTCTGCTGGCCAGCAGGTGTCACCAGGGAGCCATGAAAGTAAAGCAAAAGCAGGAGTACTGCAGGAAAGAGGCCTTTGATTTCCACACTTGTCCAGGGCCAGTGCAGCTTCCTACCTAAGCTGGTAGATGGCCTGGGAAACCTCACGGTGGTCACGGTCCTAAGGGTACCTGCATCCACGACTTATACACATGCTGTCCAAGTTAATGCCCACTTTAATCAGGTTCATTTAAATCATGTATGAATCATTTTGTTTACCTTAGAATTCTTTCCTTGGTGTGTAATACCTAAATACTTCTATTAAACATAGTAATTCCCAATTATTGTGACTAGAATATGTCAGAAGTATGTACTGATGTAACCTTCCAGTAATCATTGTTTTCAAAGAAGTTTTAAATTTTTTGTTTTATTTATGTGCACTAGGAATTGAAGCCAGGGCCTTCACTCTGAGCTACAGCCCAGCCCCTTTTTAGAAAAACTCTCTTTAGAGACAAGAGTTGCACTAACTTCCCAGTTGCCCATGCTGGGCTCAGGCTTGCAGTCACCCAGAGTGCTGGGATAACAGGTTTGTGCCTCCACACCCAGCTCAAAATTCTTATTTTTATCTAACACATAGTTTAAGAAGTTAAATCATAATAGAATGCTTGCAATAAAAACATCAGTTGCCCACCCTGTCCTTCCAGTAACCGTGTTCCTGTCCTCATCTCCCAAAACACTTCGTTCTTTTACTTCTTTCTTCTGTGATTTCCATGTGATAGAATTAGAGATTTTTATTTTCTTTTTATTTCTCTTGTGTTTTATTGCTAGTATTCCATGCTATTTATATAAGCAGGTTATTTTTTTCTTGCATTAAAATGTAGTCCATTATTTCAGAGTTTTGGCAAAACCATCTTAGTGTTCAGTGTTACCACAGCAAGTTTTTTGAGGTACTGTCTGACTCCTTAGCTGCTCTGATTTGCCTTTGGCATTTTCATTGTCTTGAAACAGGAATGTCTTTGGATTAGGAATATTCAACTTCTGTAGTTCATATCCTCTAATTATAAACCTTTCTTTACTTTTCTGCATTTTCAAGCTTCAAAGCCTCTCTAAATTACTGTCTTCTCTAGTAAAAAAGAGAGAAAGTTATGGGAGGGCTTGATATTTGTCCCCTTTTCAGCTTGTAAACCTGGTGCATCTTTATTTGACAGTATTTTAACTTTTGTGTGTTCTCTTGAATCTCACTATAGATGAAGATCTGATAAAGTATGGCTGGCCTGAAGATATCTGGTAAGTAACAATTTTGGTTCTGCTTACTGTGGGTCATCATTAACTTTCTTAGACATAGCAGAACCCTGATTCCTGTAATTAAAACTGAGCCTGTACCATGTACTTGTGTCTCTGGGTGTTCAGATGTAAATACCCCCTGCCAGTTGCCTTCATTTGTAATTACCGTGTAAGATGGTGATGGTGTCTTGGGTTTGACTGCAGGCCTGAGAGCAAAGGAGTCCAGAACACAGGTGTCCTCTGCCTGCCTGCTGGTCTCTTGTGGAGGCTCTGGGGCCGCCACTCTTAGGTTCAGGCTGTTCTAGCTCCAGTCTCATGCCTTCTTTCTAAAAAGGATTTAGGTAAACCATTTAAACAATAACATACTTCATACCTTCCCTCCAAGATAATTTGTTTATCAAACGCAGTCCAAAAAAATAAGAAGACTCTCGTATTACCTCAGACCCAGGCCATCTGCAGAGTGCATGACTCCAGTGACTCCCTCTTTCTTTCCCTTGCAGTTGTTGAACTCAGTTGCTTTGTTTTTCCAGCTTTGCCTTCCACTGCTGACTCTGCCCCTCCTGCTGTCCCTCCTCGAGTCTAATCTTGCCTGTTGAGTGGGGATCATCTCCCTGGCCTATACCACCCCCTGCCAAATGTGGGCTTGTAGTTAAGTGCTCAGATCCTATTTGATGTGATGGTCATAGTGAACATTTTTTCATGTACTTAACTATATAGCAAATATTAAATGTTTGCCTCTGCTCATCAGTTTTATTTCTCACCCACTCACCTTGGGAATAAGTATTGGTGTCATGCCCATTTGTTTTAGTTTTGCTTTTTTTTGAGATAATCTCACTTTGTAGCTTAGGCTAGCTTTGAATTTACTGTGTACCCCCCGCTGGCCTTGTAGCAGTCCTCCTGCCTCAGCCTCCCAAGTGCTGGAATTACAGACATACACCACCACACCTGGCTATCATGCCCATTTTTCAGATCAGGAAACTGAAGCTGGGAGAAATTGAACACTGTGCTGGTTGTATCAGACCCCAGTTCAGAGTCACTGTTGTGCTCTGCCCCAAGGCCATTGCAGCAGCTCCTCCCAGACCTGTTTTTCCAGGGCAGATGCAGACCCTAATTCCCTGAAGCATTCTGGGCAGCTGCTCTTGAGAGGGGAAGCTGGGCCCAGCGTTGGGCCTTTACTGGGGAGACACTGCTCTGAGGCTTACTGAAACCATCCCTGTCCTGCTGCAGGGCTCCCACAGGACCTCCTCTGACCTCCACCTGCCCAGTATGAAGCTCATGGCCATCCCAGAACCGCATCTTCTGGACTCAACCTGTGTCATAAGTGAGACTATAGCAGTTCACATGACCAGAGCTTCTAGCTGGGCATTGTTCCCTTCTGAGGGCTTAGGTTGTGATCTCTATAGGGACAGCCATCTATCTTGGTTAGCTGCTACATTCCTGGTACTGACTATAGATCATGGCATGATGTAGTATGTGTTCAGTAAATATACGTCACTTTCTAGTGGATTACCTCTCTTCCTCCCTGGTAACTGTCTGGTGGTTACCAGACAGTTACCAGGTAAGCAGAAACCAGTGACTGCTTTCTGCTCACCTCCGTTCTGAGTACCTGTCACCCCCAGCTGGAGTATTTCAGGTGTCCCTAGATTCTTTCAAGGGAGCTAAGAATGGCTGTGTCTGTCTTGTAGCTGTATGTGTTTAAACATATGATTTGAGACATAAACGCCTGCATAGGAAAAGTTACATTGTCAGACATACCATGGAAGTCAATTCACCATAACTTTTTTACCTTTTCTTTTAAATAAGTGGAAGGGAAATTTCTCATTTACAACCCACACCCAAAAGTGTATGGCTTGAGTCATTAATCGCATTAAGGTTGGTAGTCAACAGATTTAGATTTATAGACACGTAGAAACTTTTCAGCACTCTTTCACAGTCTAGAGATTAGTGGCTGTGGTTAGATGTGATTGAGTTTTATTCTAGTAGTTACTTGAGAAGTGCTGTGAGCTGGCACAGGCCGAAAGCCCAAGGCTGGTTCTGGTTGGTGAACTGTCAGTGCTGGCCATCTTCCAGGCAGCTCCGGGAATGCTTCCCAGTTGGCCTACATTCCAGGGTAGATTTTGAACCTGTTTACTGTGCTGCAGCCTCTGGGACTTTACCTCTGTGATTGATAGTCAACATCCTAGTTTATCCCAGAAAACCCCCTGAAACTATTTTTTTTTTTTTTTTTTTTAAACACAGGGTCTCAAAATGCAATATTTTGTATTTTTACTTACCAGTTTTGAAAACAGTATTCTAATGTTTTTTCTTTATTGCTGTTAAACACAGGGTCTCATTACGTAGCCCAGGCTGGCCTCAAACTCGGAACAAACCTCATCCATCCATTACCACCCCAAGTGATGGAATTACAGGTGTGAACTACCATGCCTGGCTCTCCAAGACCCTTTAAAAGAAGGGATCATCCTAGCATTAAGTACAGAGGGAACTAAATTAATTTTTAAATGAAGAAAATAAAGTTAATATGCATACTTAATTTCATAGACTTTTAAGAATTTCAGGAACCTGATTCTGAGACCCTGTGCCTCTAGTTCCTTAGCTATTTAGTATCATTTTAGCAAAATTTCTAGTCTTTGCCTTCTGTAAAGGGTGACAGGATTCAATAGGGAGAGAACATGACAATAACAAGGACAATAATTTTAACTTTTAAGTAAGCATTTTGGGAGATTTAAGAAGTGTTTTTATAAGAAAACTTGCTCAAAATGGATTGTTTAGTATAGAGCTGGGGAGTTTTGTTTATTATCATTTCAACTGAAGCCCATAGTTGTGTCCATTCTCCTGTTCTTCGTAGAGAGAGGTTGCCGACTCTACACAAACGTGACAGTTGTGCGTGTTGCACAGGACACCGCTGTGTTTGGATACTTTAATTACTTATGCATGAATTTTGTGTTTCTGTACTGCATAGCCTTGGCACTGAGCTGCATCCCAGCACTTCTTATTTATTATTTTGAGACAAGATCTCAATAAGTGACTAGGTTACCCATGCTGGGCTTGAACTTAGAATCCTGCCTCAGCCTTCCAGAGTGCTGTGATTATTAGCACGTGCCACCACATCCAGGTCTTATGTATGAACTTATTAGTTATATATTGAGTTGTTTCGGTATTTCATTTGACAAAATTCCACAGAAACTTAGAATAAAAATCAGAATATAATAGGAAGGAATTGTAAATGGAGACCTGGCTTAAAGCAAGTAATAGTTAGAATGGGAGAAAATTGAGCTTGGTTAGTGCAATATCTTTCTTTCTTTTTTCTTTTCTTTTTTTTTCTTTTTTTTTTTTTTGTGGTACTGGGCATTGAACTCAGGACCCTGTGCTTGCTTATTCCACTGAGCTATCTCCCTGGGCCAGTGCAGCATCTTTCTAATAATCTGAAAGATGATAAGAAAGTATATAATTTCCAGATTTGAAAAAAAAAATAGATATTTTTTTCCAGGATGAAACAACTCCCAATTAAAACATGAATCTCTTGTGTGGGAACAAGAATGGGTAACTTGGAGAAACATGAATCAAATATGATGTAATGCCTACTTCTGGCTATCAGTAAAGATTAAAAATAAAACCTACAGTCAACATTGACTGTTTACAGAAAATGCCTGATTTTGCGTATCCACAATAAATAACAAGATACTTAGTTTTTCCAAAGAGGGAATTGGCAACAACATGGCCTCATTCCGCTTTGTATTGAACCCTGGGTCTCTGTTTGGTACCAAGTGTGAATGTGTGACCATTTTCATGTCTAAGACAGTGCCTTAATGCTGTGAAGATGTCTAGCGCAGTGTATAATGGCATGTAATGGTCCTCCTCGGGCTTCACTGAGCATTCATAGTTGGGAAAGGTAAGGACTCACAGAATCAGTGTTCACCTTCTATTACTTTGTTCATCGTTCTACTTCCACACTAGGATTCTAGAGGCAAAAAGAGAAAATCACCTTCACTCAGTGAGCTGTGAAAGTGAAAAACATAATATTCTAAAATGTCACATCAAGCTTAGATTTAATTAAGTTGATAGATGATAGAACCTAATAAAAGGTAAACTTAAGGTGGGGGTGGGTGGATATCGGCTTGGTGACCTCAGGCCTCAGCTGACTTTCTGAATCTGTACTTGGCCTTTGGTTGTGTTGCCATTGCTCAAGATTCAAGGTGCTCCAGGCAAAACCCCCCAGTTTTCTCCCACCGGTGGTCTGCAAACTTCCTAGGTGCTCAACTGTGGCATCTCTTTGGCTTCTCTTTCTTTCTCTCTCTCTCTTTCTCTCTTCTTTCTTTGATGTATTTAGTACAGGGTTTACAGGGTCTCACTATGTAGATCAGACTCATACTGATTCCCTTGCTTTTCAGCCTCCCAAGCACTGGGATTATAGCCATGTTCATGCGCAGTCTCAATGCCAGCACTGGGGCATGTTGGGGATTGAACCCCGGCCACTGCACTCTGCCTAAGCAGGCACTTTAATCTTCTGAGCTATCTGGCCAGCCCTCTAGTTTCTTTCATTAACTTAACTTCTTACCTGACTTTCCGTGTTTTCCTCTCAACCCTGTGCTTCCATCAGGAGCCAACCAAATCTCAGTTCTTCTGTGAAGCCTTTGGTACTGTATAGCTCTGTCACCTGAAAAACCACCCTCGGCGCTTAATATTTATTACTGTTGGGCACTTTTTCCACACAGCTATGTAACTTTCGGCATTGACCTTGTGGCTCTGGTTGCGGTGAGACCTTTGCAGATGGCTACTGTGTTCTGCACCCCACGGTCCCAGCTGTGGGAGGCCCTGAGCGAACAGGGGGTACTTCCTGGAATGGGTGCTTTAGATACAAGGGGGAAGTGAGGCGGTGGTCTTGTACCTCTTGTTAAAAGTGGTTTTCCTTCTTTGTAGGTTTCATGTGGACAAAATCTCTTCGGCTCATGTATACCTTCGGTTGCATAAGGTAACTGCATTTCAACATGGATCCGTGACATTGTCTTTAGTGACGAGCAGCATAGCGTGTTCTTTTTCTGAAATTAAATTGCTTCAAGTAAATATGTTTGAAAATAGAAAAGTTAGTAAACAAAGAGGTCTCTCTCCCTGACCAGAAAATTATTATGGGGAATTCTGGGCCCTGTCTGAGTCTTTGGAGGGCCAAGAGTAGCTGCTTCCAGGTAGAAGAAGCACCCTGGCTGAGAGTGTGAGTATGCTGTCTGTGGCCGCTGCTCTCATCCCTCGCGGTTCAGATGGCCCCACCACATGCTCCTCCCCAGTGGCTTCTTTTGTTCTGTCTCCAGTGAGTCTCTGCCCATACTGAGGCCAGACGTATTAGGGGGTTCTTTGGGCGGTGTAAGGTAGCATGCTAGCAATAAAGGGAACTAGATTTAATGCTCCTTACTAACACATCAGCATTGCTTTTCCAATAGGTCTTTATTCATGTGTGTTTTATAGTTGAATCAAGCTATTATGTGTGTATGCAAATGTTTGTGTGTTTTGCAGCCCTGGGGATTAAACCCAGGCCCTGTATACTGAACTGCACCTCCAGTGCAACCTCCCTTTTCTGGTAGTTGAGGAAGGGCCTCACTAAGTCACTTAAGCTGCCCAGGCTAGGTTCAAACTTGCAACTCTCCTGCCTCAGCCTTCCAGATGGGTGTGTAGCACTATACCCAGCCACTCCTTCTCCCCCTCCTCTCTTCCCTCCTCCTCCCCCTTCCTCCTACCTCCTCCTCTTCCTCTTCCTTCCTCTTCCTCCTCCTTCCTCTTCTTCTTCCTCCTTCTTCTGTTTAATAAACTTTACTTTGGAGTAGTTTTATGATTTTTTTTTTTTTTTTTTTTTGCGGAACCAGGGATTGAACTCAGGCCCTCACACTTGCCAGGGAAGCACTTATTCCACTGAGCCATTTCCCCTGCCCCTGGAGTAGTTTTAAAGTCACACAAAAATTGCAAAGATATGGCCAAGTTCCCACATGGTTTCCTTCATTGGTAAGTTATTCCATTACAATGACAGATAGTAAGAAACTAAGGAGCCAGCCTTGGGATATAATTGCCAACTAAATTCCAGACTTTATTTGAATTTTAGCAGTTTTTCCATGAATGTCCTTTCCCAGGATCCAGTCTAGAGTACTATATTGTGTTTAGTTGTCATGTTGGTCCTGCTGACAGTTTCTCATTCTTCCCCTACTTTTAATGACCTGGACACTTTGACCAGGGATTGTACAGCATATCACTCTGATACAGGGGAAAAAACTGATCTCAGTTGGACGACCTCCAAATGATATAAGGGAAAAATGATCTCCCAACCTGAAAGGTACCTGGGACAAGTTCGTGTTCTCTCAAACAGAAGAATGAATTTTAGGAACAAAAGGACGTTATGAGCAGAATATATTTGAGGGAAAGAAAGCTACTGTCCCAGAGAGAGACAGGAGCCCCCCCCCCCAAGCTGTCTCCATGAGAACTCGCTTAGGTGAGCATGAGGTGGGACAAAACTATGCTCAACCAATGAGATTACAAGCACCATTGCTTAGATGAAATTGATTGAATCCAGTACCAAATGGGGAAGCAACTCTCCTAATCAAGTGGGACAGGGTCTCTTCCTTTGGGGATTGTGCTAGTGACTCATTTGGGCTCCTTCAAGGTGATTGATACCTATTTAGAATATCAATCCCTAATGCCCATCCCTAGGGAAGTATGTAGCTGTGTTTCCTCTTTTGTCTTGAGGTCTGGCCCATATGGGAATGTCTGTCTCTTCCAAGTTGCAAAGTCACCTTGTCTTCCATATTGTTTCCTTCAGTGCCTGGCCCTTCCTGACTGCCTATAATATTTCTATCTAATTCAGCTGCCTACAACTCCATTTGGATTCATGAAAAACCAAGGTTATGAGTTTGGGGAGAAGAACCCCACAGAGGTGGGTCAGGTCAGAGGGTGTGTGTTTGTGGGTCAGCACTCACTATGGCCTGGCCCACTTTCTCCTCTGGGAAGTTGCTTTGCTTCCCTTTCTAGGCTTGGCTATGTGGCTGCAGGGCTCTTAAGTCTAGCCCCTGCTCAGAGGCAGCACTACATGGAGCGGGAAACATGTATAAATATTGGTGGCAATCCTTTAGGAAGATTTGTCTCCGGCTGCATTTACTTAGCCATGGACTGTGCCTGTGTTGCCTCACGTTCACGTCACACCTTGCGTTGTGTCTCATCATTGTGCTGTGTTGTTGCCCATATTGCACTGACGGGGCTCTTGTGTGCCCCCAGGGCCCCTTTTGCTTTCTGTGTGCATCCTTACCTTCTGTTACTACAGTGCTTCAGGTACATTTCTAATTTTTCTGGCCCAGTTCTAGAATCAGCCATTTCTCTAAGGAACTTGGTTTGTTTTCTTGGTGTAAGGTATTTTGAAATCAAGATCTGTCTTCAGGGTGTACCTGGTACTCCTCGAGTATCGTTTCTTGTAGATCCTCTCAGCTGACAGAGCTGAGAAATACATGAGTGTCCTGTCCTGAAAATCCAAAATCTGAAATGCTGCAAAATCCAAATGTTGTGAGCCTGATCTCAGGTCACAGATCACAGAATGCAAGGGTGCTAAAAATAGGGTAGAAACTTATTCCAGGCTATGTGTATGAAGAGAATATGAAGCACTAATAAATTGTGTGTTTAAATGTTTTACCCATCCCCAGGATATCTCATGAATATGCAAATTCCCAATCCAAAAATTTGAAACACATTTTAGGTAAGGGATACTCAACTTACATACATGCAAGGTATGATAGAAAAATAGGGTATGTTTAAATTTTTAAACATTTATTGCAGTTTATTGCATTAAAAGACACATTGCTGTTAATCCCCCTCAATTCTCCTGCTCACTTTGAGCGTTCTTTTTTGTTGTTGTTTTTCTTTTTGAGACAGGGTTTTAGTCTGCAATTCAGGCTGGTCTGGAACTCACTTTGTAGCCCAACCTGGTCTCGAACTTGCAACAATCCTCCTGCCTCAGGTTTCTGAGTGCTGGGATTACATGTGTGCACCATCATGTCCTGCTGCTTTGAATCCTCTTATGCTACTATTCTTGCCCCTTTCTGAAGCAGTTCTGAAAGTTCTTTCCTATGATTGTTTTTATGAGTTGTGACCAAAAATGAGGTGACTGCTGCTGTCAGGTGACATCAGTGGAAACATATTTTGCAACACACCTCACAGATCAACAGTTTATAGGGCTGGGGAGATAGCTCAGTAGAATAAACACTTGCCTGGCAAACACAAGGTCCTGAGTACAATCCCCAGTACTGAAAAAAAAAAAAACAAAACCAGCTTATGACAATTTCAGTCAAAATAGTGCAGAGTGTCTTTACCCAACTTGCTCACCAATATAGTACCATATAGCATCTGGCTTTTTCCCCAAAGTCCAAATGACCTTGGAAGTTAAATGTGTTGAATCAGTTCAGGACCTTAAGGCAGCCACAGAAGTGTTGTAAAGACACTTATGAATGATTTCCAGAACTGCTTCAGAACGTGACAAGAATAGGATAAGTGTATGCATAGTGTGGGGGAGTATTTTGAGCGAGATTCATGGCAGTATGTCTTTTACTGTAATACATTTTTTTGAAATTTAAACTTAATATTTGATCACACTATATCTATATACTGGCCCCTGCATATATGTGTAGCTACAATTGTTTCAGGATCTCTTCACGTGAGCCTTTGTTAAGCTACACACAAGTTCTTGTTGATGTCTCTGGCTGTAGTCTGTTACAAGGCTTTTTCTAGCTTGTCCCAACATCTGTTGGCGCCCATCTGCCTTCCCTTTATTTATTTGACTGTAGCATACGTGGGCCTTCTGATGTTAACCTGTAACCCGTGAGAAGCAACTCGGTAAGCTAGACAGTCCCAGTGCGTAGTTCCTTTTGCCTTTTGCTTTATGTTTTCAAATCAGATCATTATTTCCCAAAGTTTCATGTAAGCTACTGTTTCTCCCCTGACCGTTTCAGTGATGTGATACCTACAGTTGCAAGGCAGTTAGACTGTGTCCATCCAGCATCCCCTGATTGATGCTACTACTTCTTAGGGTGACATTTATAATTTTTCATGTTGCTTTAATCTTTCTGTATGTATAAATATCGGTTGGCTACAATGCTTTGATAACATGCCACAATATGAAAACTCCCAAGCTGGGTGTGGTGGTGAATTCCTCTAAAAGCATTTGGAGGCTGAGACAGGAGGATTGTCTTGAGTTTGAGGCCATCCTGCACTACACAGCAAGAGCCTGTCTCAAAAAATCAAAATCAAAATCTCATATGAGAAACATGAGAGCTCCTTTATCAGAATATAGGTTTATAGTTTTTCAGTATTATGAATCGCCAACAGAATATATTCTTTTGTGTGTGTGTTCGTTTGTAGAGGTAGAATCTCTCTGTCTAGTCCAGGCTGGCCTTATGTTCCTGGGCTCAGGTGATCCTCCTGTCTCATCCTTACTGTAATGCAATTTTTTTGAAATTTAATTTTTTTTTATTTTTATTACTATTTTACTGTTTTTTTGTTTTTTTTTCATTGAGTACCTGGGACAGCAGATAGAAGTATGCCACTTTCCCATGCTGTGGATTAATTACTGGGTCAGGAGATGTATATAATTTGGGAACTTCTTTTTTATCAGATTTCCCTCAGAGTATTGTGCTAGCTTCAGAAACTACTTGCTATCTTCTGTGTTTTCTCGAATCATAAGTATATAGGTCTACTTCCTCATGGCTAGTATATAGTTTACTCACAGCATTAAATGGTAAGCCTGATCTTCCTTTGTTCCAAGGTGTTTCTATTTTTGTGTTTGTTTTGTTTTGGCAGAGCCAGGGATTGAACTCAGGTTCTTATGCTTGCCAGGGACGTGCTTATTCCACTGACCATCTCCCCGGCCCCCATGTTGATAGGAATGTTTTTTTTTTTTTTTTCCTGTGGAACCGGGGATTGAACTCAGACCCTTGCACTGGCCAGGAAGTGCTTATTCCACTGAGCCATCTCCTGGCTCTGTTTTTGTTTTTTTTTCTGAGGTGTTTTTGAGGGCTGTATTATGAAGGAAAAGAGGAGGGTTCTGAGCTCTGCTGGAACAAACTTCTGCATTGTCTGAGACAGCTCATTGTCGTTTTGCACCTCCTACATTTCAAGGAGATTGAGTAGGGTGTGCCCAGCTGTTCTTTGATAAAGATTTCTTTGTCCTTGGGGTTCTGAGGGGTCAGAATGAAGACACAGTGGCTGTGGCAAGTTCACATTGCACCAAGTATTAATCGCTGTCATAGAAATCCAATGCCAGTTTCCTTTGGGAGTGTGTAACTTGCACAGGTGGAAGGATGTGCCATGAGGGATGTTTGCCCCCTCAATTTGCACAGTAAATAGGTTGGGCTGACCTGGTAGGTACCAAGTAGGTGCTGGCAATACAGGAGCCAGACTGCTGGATTTCATTCCCGGCTGTGCTTTCTATTAACTGTGCCCATTACCTCTGCAGAATAGGCTAGTTCCATATCTTAGTGGGTCACTGTGATGACCAGGGATGTTTTGCTACTGAGCTACATTACTTTCCTTTCATTTCATCTCATTTTATTTGAGACTGGTTCATTGAGTTGCTTAGATGAGACTCCGACTTGCAAGCCTCATGCCTCAGCCTCCCTTGGTGGTGGGGCTATAGGCATGCGTGTGTCACCACATCTGGTGGTGCCAGCATATCTGAAAGCACCAGAATAATGCATGGCATGTGCTAGTCCTGTAGGTATGTGTTAGTTGTTTTGTTTTTGTTTAATTTAGCCTTTGAAGATCATAGACATTCACTAATATTCTTTTCTAGGTCTTTTTTTTTTTTTTCTTTTGAAACTCATAGAAAAAAATCTTAACTATTTTACAGGTTTCCTATTCCATTAAAATAAGATGACACAAAGCCCACCATCAAAATTCTGGCCTTTACACATTGAGTCTTAGTGCACACTTTTTTTTTTTTTTTTTTTGGTGGAACCGGGGATTGAACTCAGGCCCTTGTGCTTGCTGGGGAAGCACTTATTCCACTGAGCCATCTCCCCAGCTCCCACACTTCTTGACTTTGTGCAAAACACTAAACTGGGTAGGGCTTTAGCTTTCCATGCATCTTTCTTTGGTCTGTTCATATTATATTGGGAGTAGCAAAACAGGATGAAGAGATTGCTTTAGAAAAGTGACAACCACTGATAGGAAAAATCTGGGTCTGGGACATAGACATCATCAAGGACCAAGAAACTCTACCATGCCTCAAGAACTCCAAGAGCACTGTGTCTATGGCCAATGGCATTAGCTTGGTTCATCCTTCAGCTCTCGCTTACCTGATATGAGGACCTTGTCCTAGTCCTTCACTTCACAGAGCTGCAGTCTCTTCGTTGACAAAGTGTGGCTACACAGGCTATTTTATACAGCAGTTTACTCAGTGGCATAAGTGCCTGTCTGGTAAGTGCAAGGTCGTGAGTTTGATCCCTGGGACCACCAAAAAAAAAAAAAAATTGATGGCTGGTGTTTTGGGAGGAGTTTTTTAATCATTTTTTTATTCTAGAGTCAGCCCCTTGTTCTGTATTTTTATGAGGCTACCTACTGTCTTACTGTGGGCTGTAATACTGTAAGATGGTTTGCAATTTTGGATATTGGTTTGTTGTCTTGGATATTTGCAATGATGACATAAATTCAGAATCCTCTATTTAAATGATCTAGGAAATGCATAGACTAAAATGTCTTTATTGATGAGTTAACTGATGAGCTCAGTTCACTTTTTTTTTTCTTTTTGGCCAAAATATATGTATTTGAGAGATTCCCATTTACAGCATGTGAAGCGTAGTGCCCAGGGGAGAGGGGCATAGCTCAGCAGTAGAGTCCTTGACTAGCATATGTGAGGCCCTGGGCTCGATCCCCCTGATACCACAAAGAAAGTTTTTGAATGTACAAAGTTTTTAAGACTTAATAGAATAAACTTAATTTATCTCAGAGTTAGGGAAACTTTCTTTTGCAGACAGTTGCTTCTGTAATTCCCGTGCCCTGTAGGACTCAGTTCTGCACTGATTTCCACTTGTTTTTACATCTGAGATACTTTTGCTCTTTGGGAATCACTGTACTTACTCATCTGTGAAACAGGTTTCTATTGGGAAGGATCGATAACAAATTTGTGTTTCCATCTCCCGCACAGTGAGTGCCGACGATCTCACACCAGAACTTTGTTCTTGATTACCACTGAGGTTCCGCACCCAGAACTCTTGAGTTGTCTCTTGGAGAGAAGGTTGTAGCAGCCTTTGCCAGGAAGAAATCCAGTTGTCACACGTAGGCAGTTTTCCACCACGTTTCCAGAAAAAAGAGTGAGAAGAGAGAGGAAAACTTACTCAGATATGATTATAGTTAATATTACAATTGCGGTTAATTTTTATATTAAATGTTTAATATTTTTTATATTTATATTAGGTATATGTGGCCTCTCTGAGTTTAAGTAAACATCCCACAAGGGACAGTAAACAGACGTGGCTTTTCAGTGTTCTGTGACACAGTTGTCTGCTGCATGTGATAAGGCTGCAAGTGCCCTCTTGGTGCCCCACTGGTGACCAGTCACAAAGGCATGGACCTTTTTTTTTTGTGTGTTTCAGGGAGAGAAGATAGAAGACATTCCCAAGGAAGTGCTGGTGGACTGTGCCCAGCTTGTGAAGGCCAACAGCATTCAAGGTCAGTTTTCCTAGAGAAATGTTTTCACAGTCAGCTCTGATTTTATATCTGAATATATTGCATTTTAGAGAATATGCTGTTAGGGCCGGAGAGATAACTCAAAGGACTAAGTGCCTGCTTAGGCAAGCACAGGGACCAGGTTTGATCCCGGGCATCATGTGCTGTACCACCCCCACCCCCAGGTGCGCTGAGCTGGCCACCAAGCCTGGGCATGGTGGCGCACACCTATAATCCCAGCGCTAGGGAGGCTGAAAACAGGAGGATCACTGCGAGTCAAAGCTGCATAGTAAAACCCTGTACCACATACATTTAAAAACAAAACCAAACCAAGAGAATATGCTGTTAACTTTGGCTTGTGTCAAAGAAATGGCAGATTATATCTATGGTGCATGGCAGTTTTAAGCATATATGTAAGACGACTTTCGCAAATTTCATATTACTAGCTAAGTAGGAGGAGATGTTTCATAGCTTTCTTTTCTTTCTTTTCTTTCTTTTTTTTTTTTTTTTGCAGTCTAAAGATGCCTTGAGGGCATCTCAGGTTTCCTGTGAGAAACTGGGTTCGAACCAGAGCATCTTGAGCCTGACTGCTTTGTTTAAGCAGGCAGTGAAACAACTGAGCTAATGGGCAGGCCCCCCCCCCATAGCTTTATTTTCATTGTTGATGTTTTTATTTTTATCGGTTATCATTAAATTCTGGAGCTAGAGTCTCTAAACCATTACTTTCTTCTGCTTTTTCTTTCTCCCGCCTCCTCCTCCTTCTCCTCCTCCTCTTCAAGTTGTGAAGCTTTAGAGTCAGTTGATCATGTTGTCCTTCCTCCCCTGAGCACTTAGTTGGTCTGGAATAATGCTTGAACATCACTGTTTTTGTACAAAACTTTCCTTGGTGATTCTGATGTGCAGTGTGGGTTGAGGGCCATTGGCAGCAGTAGTCTGCTAGGAATGATTGAGCTAATAGATTGAATTTTAGATGCAGAACATACACTTAGAGCGGGTGGAGTGATTTGCGTTTGGTCTGAAGTTGAAGGATGATACAGAAGATCATAAAGAAATATGGTTTGGATAGTGGAAACATAAGGGGCAGGCATACAGTGGATAACAACTACCAGGGGTTGGTGGTGCAAAGATCTGGGCCAGAGTCCCCCTTCCTTGTCACTTAGACTATGCTTCTTGAATATGAACTTATGTAGCCTTCATAAAAGAAGGTAGAAGCCTTGCCTACTGGAGGCACTGATAAACCAACAAATTGTAATCAGTTTTAGGATACTGCATCTTATGAGTAGAATGGGATTTTCTGAGATCTTCAGTTAGTGGAATAAAAATAAAAGCAGTCCATTCTGTGGTCCAGTCTCCTCCTCACATCCTGCCCCTGCCCATACTGCTGGCTTATTGGGGTGCCTGCATTGGAACAGCACTGGACTGCTTATTCTTGATTTAGCCCCTTTCTTTCTCCTATCTCAGTAGCATTCTAGTCCTAGAGAAAACAGCACAGGGGAGAGCCATGAGACTGAGCTACTGTCCCGCCTCGTCTCCTGACTCCTGCTCAGCTGCCCACAGAATGAGGAGCTAAGCCCTGAGCCTGCTTTTGTGTCACTGGCAGAAGGTGCTGCTGATGGGTGAGAAGGTGGTGTGTGCTGTGAAGTCGCAGGGGACACTCCATTTGGACACTTGGAGTTCAAAGTGTCCCTCCCTGGTTGGTCACTTTCCCTGTCTAGCTCCAAGTCTTTGGAGGTTACACTTGTAGTCATAGGTCAGTTGTTGTGTGTCACCTAGCGACTCTTCACAAAATGTCCGTGGCTTCCTGTGCCTGTAAAGTGCAGTGTGGATGTCCCAAATCGGCATCTACTGGGTATCTCTGATCTGACTGCAGATCCTGTCTCTTCACATATCTCACACTTCAGCTACAACCAGTATTTATGGATTTCCTTTTACCTCTTACCTTTCTGTATATTTTACCTTCTGCTCCCATTGGGTCATCCTTGGTCTGCATGTGAGCATGTGTGTGCTAAAGCCTGAAGTTCATGTGGCAGTCACAGTGAGAGCAGTAATTGCTGGTCTAGATGGGATGCCCAGTCCTGTACTAAAGCTTTGAAGGTGATTTTATCCCCCAGTGAGGAGGTACTGTGATGATTTTCCTTCTGTAGACTGTACCTGAGAGGAGACAAGAACTTCCCACGGTCCCAGGACTGTGCAGTGGAGGAGACGTTGCCTGAGCACCTCTCCTGGGTGCCTTCCTTTCCCCAACTCTGAGTGGTCCCTGCCATCTCTGAGCCATGCTGTACTTGCTGTAGATTTCTCCCAGCCTTTGCCACCTTCTATTTGCAACGAAAGTGACTTGTGTACTTGTCTCCTCTGGAGGTGTGCAGGTAGGCCATTGTTGGTCAGCTTGGCATCCCCTCAGTGCCTCACACATATTTTCTTAAAACTTTTTTTAAATCTTTCAAACATTGCACCAAAATTATAGTGTATATATTCCCTTCATTTAGATTTACTATTTAATTTTTCTCATATTTCTTTGCTTTTTCTTTTATGTATTTGGTACAGTGCTGGGATTACAGGCATGTGCCACCACGCCCAGTCTTGGTGGCCAGCTCAACGCACCTGGGGTGGGGCCAGCATTGCATGCAGTGCTGGGATCGATCTTTGCTTTCTAAAATTATGATTTTTTTTTTCCTGAGTCATCTGAAGGAAAATTGAAGATACTATGATCCTTCCACATGGGTCTCTTAAGAAACGAGGACTTGTAAATAACTATTACAATGACCAGATTCAGGAAAATCAGCAGAATAGCGTATGCCATCACCTCATACACAGTCCATAATTAAGTTTTGACAGTCGTCCTAGTGCCTTTCTAACATTTTTTTTCTGATGCGGAATGGTGCGCTGGTTTACCTCTGATGTACAGATTCTTTGTCTATCAAGACAGTGCCTTAGGAGACCGGCTGTAGAATAGCTTATGGTTTGGGTTTTGCTGATGCTTTCTCTTGGTTGGAATCTCATGTGCACTTTCAAGCAATAGTAGTATCTATAAGTGAAGTTTCTCCTCTTCCACATGATGTCATTTTGCTCCATTTGAGGGGAGTTACCTTTGATCCTTGGTAAGGTGCAGTCTACCAGTTTTCCATAGTGTGCAGGGTGTAAGCATGGATTTATAACCATCTAACATGGAAAGACAAGAGAGAGCATCAGACCAGTGATTTTTGTTGTGGGGGCCAGGGAGATGGCTCAGTACAATTTTTTTTTTTTTTTTTTTTTTTTTGTGGAACCGGGATTGGACTCAGGCCCTTGCGCTTACCAGGGAAGTGCTTATTCCACTGAGCCATCTCCCTGGCTTGACCAGTGATTTTTCTGTGGCTTGGAGCTGCTGGGTGTGGAGGGTGTAACGGCAACCTGGGGAGGAGGAGGAAGTGGAAGGGCGAGGAGAAGGCTGAGTAGGCCTGGCACATTCTAGAGCAGCCCTGCTTCAATGACCACTTCTACTTTCAAACCCTACTAAACTAATCCCATTGCCTTGGAGTTTACATGAGATTCAGGGAGACCTGAGGACTTCCCCACAGGGCCATAGCTAGTTTATCATGATGCCAAAATATAGTCCTGATCTCTGGAACCCTACACTGTATTGCTGCTGGCCCAGGGACTCTTTTAAGAAAACAGAAACTGCGCTGGGGAGATAGCTCAGTGGAATAAGTGCTTGCACAAGGTCCTGAGTTCAATCCCTGGTACCACCAAAAAAAAAGAAAGAAAGAAAGAAAGAAAGGAAAACAGGAACCTTATTTGATCCTGAAAATATACACACATGCATGCATGTGTGCGTGCGATTACATTTTACAATTTTAGGAACTGAGAAGTCCGTGAGCTAATCTGCAACCCTAGCTTTCCATCATAGTATGTTGTTCGTGTTTTGTTTAATGTGAGCTTTACCGTTTGCCTTTGGGGGTGGTTTCTGAAAAGCTTTAGGTGCTTTGCACAGTGGGAGGCTTGACTTCCTGGGCTGGGTAGCCTTGCAGTGGGCAAGGAGGGCATGCCGTCTCCTCCTGCCCATAGGGTGAAGACAGTATCTATTGCAGGCTGCAAGATGAACAATGTGAATGTGGTGTACACGCCGTGGTCAAACCTGAAGAAGACAGCTGATATGGATGTGGGGCAAATAGGCTTTCACAGGCAGAAGGATGTAAGTGTTTTGCAGCTGAAAGTGGTATGAACACACCCCCTGTTCTGTCCCTGGAAGGCTTGCCCCCTTTTCCTGGGAGAAAAGAACAAAAAATAAAGACTCAATTCCATCTCTCTCCAAGGTAAAAATTGTAACAGTGGAAAAGAAGGTGAATGAGATCCTGAACCGATTAGAAAAGACCAAATTGGAACGGTTCCCAGACCTAGCAGCAGAAAAAGAAGGCAGGGATCGCGAAGAGAGAAATGAGAAAAAAGCCCAAATTCAGGAAATGAAAAGGAGAGAAAAAGAAGAAATGAAGAAGAAGAAGGAAATGGATGAACTGAGGTATGTTGGAACTATGCCGCTGAGTTTGCCTGTGAGATTGTTCCCTGAAGTTTTAATCATGAGTTAACTCCCAAGAATGGCACCAATACAGGGAGGGGCCTATAACAACCTCACAGCCTTGAATGAGTTAAGCCATTTATACTAATGTGCCAGTCAGATGAATTGTCTTTTTTTTATTTATTTAGGACAGGGTCTACAGGCTCTCAGTACACAGATCGGACTCGTAGTAATTTTCCTTTTCAGCCTCCCAAGTGCTGGGATTATAGGCGAGTGCCACCACGCCCAGTCTCAGTCGCTGTCTCAGCACGCCCCGGGGACAGGGCTGGCAAGCATGCCGGGATCAAACCCTGGCCACTAGGCTCTGCCTAAGCAGGCACGTTAGTCTGCTGAGCTATCTGGCCGGCCCTTGAATTGCCTTTTTACAGAGACAGGATATGAGAATGTGTGAAATAAAACGGCTAATTGTATTAGATAAACCATGATGGGTTTTCGTTAGAGTCTGATTTGTAAAGTTCTTCAGAAGGAAAAAGCTGCTATAATAAGTGGTTGTTTGATGGTGGCTTTGCTTCTTTGGTCCTGGGGAGAAGCCAGGGCCTTGCAGTGCTCAGCAAGCTCTGCCACTGAGCTGCTTCCAGCCGCCTGAGTAATGCTGAATATTAACTAGCTGTGCAGCTTGAATGCAGTTGTCTTGGCCTGAGAGGCCAACACTAGTTAAGTCTGAAAGCTGTTTTTAACTCTTTTTTTATATTTTGAAAGTTTAAAGTAGTTAATGGAAGTCTGCTCCATTGCTCTATATTTTTTTAATTTTTCCTTAATTTTTCTCTATATTTTTGAACAATAATTAAAATCCAATTTGACTTCTAGAATACTAGCAAATAAAATAGGAAATACAGATGATACATTTTCTATTGTTTCTCTAACAAATTGCCACCCATTTATTTGATTAAAACAAACAGAAATTTAATATCTTATGGTCCTGTAGATTAGAAGTCCAGTAGATTTCTCGCTGGGCTAATGTCAGGATGTTGCAGGGCTTTATTCCTTTCTGGAGGTTCCAGACAGAATCTCCTTTTTCAGCTTCTGAGACTTCCCACATTCCATGGTTTGCGGCCCCTTGTTCCCTCTCAAAGCCACAGGCACTGCCTCCTCGCTGATCACAAGTGTCTCTCTCTGCTTTTAAGGAGCAATGATGTGACTGGATTGTACCCACCTAGACAATCCGGGATGATTGTCTTTAATCCTCTTTATCTTAAGGCCTTTAATTTAATTGCACCTGCAAAGTCTGTTTTGACCCTGTAAGGTAACAAAAAGATGTGTAGGTTTAGAGTACACTTGACACTGTGAGGTGGGGGTTGGAGAGAGCATCATTCAGCCACTCCACTGATTCTATATAAATATGTACTGCTGCTGCTGATCAGGCCCTTTTTCTTTCTTGACTAAGAGAAATTATTCCTTTGACTGATATTCGTATTTCTTCCTGTGGTTTTCTATAGATACCATGTTATGAGTATACCCCTTGTCTTAGCTACTCTTCTCTCATTGCTGGGACAAGTACCTGACACTCAGAATGAAAGAAGGAAAGGTTTATTTAGCTCTCAGTTACTGGAGGTTTCAGTCCATACTCAGCTGGCTCCAAGGCAGAGCAGCACATGGCAGAAAGCAACCTTTCATGGCAGTGGCAAAGAGCAAGAGCACAAGGGAGGGGCAGCAGCAGCTCAAGCAGCTGGCTTCTCTTCCCACCTTACATTGAAATGCAGATTACCTGCCCCAGGGAGGTGCAGCAGCCACACCCACAATAATCAATCACAGACTCCAGAAGCTGCCCCAAGACTGCAGGAGGCTTTGGGGGGACACCTAGACACACACCATAACACCCCTGTAGTGGATTTCTAACTGAGTGGATTTCTAACTGGTGGTCAAGTTATTACACCCAGCTGAGTTAAACTAGTGTGCTGGATGAGGGGGCCCACCTGAGGGCTGTCGCCAGCAGCTTAAAGGCAGGACAGGAGAAGCTGCTGTAAATTAGGGACACAGTTTGGAGAAGCTGTTGGAAGCTGCTAGTTCTCTCAGGCTGTTCTCTGGAGGACCTTGTCATGCTGACTTTCCCAGTGAACTTTGGAGGAGCTTGGGTCCTCGTCTTGAGCTTTGCTTCCCGGCCCCAGAGGGGAAGATGGTGCACTGCTCAGCCTCATGGACAAGCTTGTCACACTGGCTTTCCTGATGGGAACTCGGCTTTCCTCATCACTGGAGGAGCGTGGGACCTCACTGTTCTGAGGATGGCTGTGGTACTTTTGGGGGAGCTCTGGTGCTTAACCTGAGCGTTGCTTCCTGGCTCCAGTTTGGATCCCCCAGCCTGCTAGCTCAGATCCTTCATCCTGCTGGCATAGGCGTCCCAGCTTCCACCATTGACCTTTGGGCCTTTCCAGCACAGATTCATGAAGTGGACCTGCATGAGACTTCGTTGTGGGCTCAAGGCCTCCAGTTGGTCTTGTGGCAGGCATTGTTATGAGCTCTAGGTTTTTAGCTGGATTCATGCAGAATATTAGGATCCAGGCCTTCAGCTAGAGTCTTTTGTATTTGTGTGTGTGGACATTTAAAATAAAAATGTTATTTCCTGCCCTTCTTGGATATGATTCTTGGGTAATTCATTATAAAATACTATTATAAAATGTGTCCTGTATTATATTGTTCCCCTTGCAAGAGCCCCAAACCATGACACCTCCTAAAAAGAGTGTAAATAGCATACGTTGCCTTTGGAAACGATGAGTCTTGCTGTGTCTTGACCTAATTTCCTTGGGATGCCGTTGACTCTTAGGCTGTTGGGTTAGAATGTAGGTATTATGGTCATATGCTTTTTTCATTAGTTCTTCCCATGCGTGTGTTCCTCTTGGGGGTTCTGCTAAAGCAGGATGCTTAACTTCATTTAAAATAAAAATGATGGGCCTGGGGAGATGGCTCAGTGGAATAAGCACTTCCCTGGCAAGCACAAGGGCCTGAGTTCAATCCCCGGTTCCACCAAAAAAAAAAATAAATAAATAAAATCTATCTTTGGCCAAGGGAGATGGCTCAGTGGAATAAGCGCTTCCCTGGTAAGCACAGGGACCTGAGTTCAATCCCTGGTTCCGAAAAAAAACCACAAATAGGCTAAAATAAAAATGTTATTCTGAGTTATGATTTGCAAACAAGACACAGACTGACGTGTAGACTCAAATGTATGATGTGGCCTAGGATTTGTGAGTAAAAGAAAAATTACCAACTCTGTCAGTGTAGAAAAGTTTGTAAATTCTGAGTGATGGATGATTTGGAGAAGTTCATTATTTTTTGGTTGTAGTTTAGAATATGGGAAAGCTGAAGACACACTTTTTTGTACCCTTCATAGCTATATATATATTTTTTTTAAGAGACATGGATGTTAGATGTTAGAAACATAATAGCACGTATTTACTAACAAGATTCAGTAAGGGAGAATAGGTAACTGTTTAGATACTGCACTAAAAGTGTTTAGTTGTGTTAGCTCATTTATTAGGTGGGTATTTTTGTTGTCTGCTCTTTGTAGAAGAAAAACTAAATCTGAGAAGCAATTATGTCACATAACTTGATTCTCAGGCCCACATACATTATTCTTCTGCCCTTTAATTCAATTTCAAAAGTTTTATTCAGTATGGAATAAGGTTTTTTTTGTTGTTGTTGTTCCTCGAATGCCTTCAGGGCACTTTTGGCTAGCTGGAGAGGTGTGAGGTTTGAACTCCAGCAACCTGAGGCTGACAGCTTTGTGGAAGCAGCCACTTAAAGGCCTGAGCTAGGGCCAGGCCCCCTTTTATTCAGTATGAATCAAGTAATTTATAGATGTTATAATTTACCTGAGAAAAACACTATTCTATGTTTTGAATTGAGATATATATATATATATATATATATATATATATATATGAGAGAGAGAGAGAGATTACTAAAATGTATTTAGTGTAATTTTACTAGTTTTAAAAGATATAGGCGTTTAAGTCGAAGACATTTATTAAAAGACTATGTCGCTTGGGCTTTTTATTTCTGTATTTGGCACAGGGTCTCACTAGGCAGCTTGGACTTGTGATCCTCCCAGCACTGAGATTACAGGCATGCATCACCATGCATTGACACAGTGGCCTGCTCAGGGTGCGGGGGGAGCATGTGGCATGTGGGGCTGGGGATCGAACCCTGGTCCTGAGCTTGCCTAAGCAGGTGTTTAGTCTGTTGAACTATCTCACCAGCCCTTTGGGCTTCCTTTCATAATAACAGTTAAAATATTTATGTGAACTTAGGGGAAAAATTATCGGTCTTTAACAAGTAAAATCTTTGCTTCAGGAGTTTATCTAGTCATTCCCATTTTGTAAGCTGTCACTAGTCACTTGCATTTTTAAATAGTCATTGTAAGCCTCAGAATACCGAAACACAATTTCTGTGTTTATAACTGTTAAACATGGGCCACACAGACAGCATTCTGTAGCATGCTGTACAAGACAGAAGAACGCATGACAAGGTTGTCATGCAGGAGTGGATGCAGGGACATATCAAGGTTTCCTTGGCATATCCAGAGCTGCAGTTTGCAAGTTATATCTTGCAGTTTTTGTGAAACTCCATCAACAGGCTCTAAACTTCTGATTTAACATATAAGGTGTATCTTAGAAGTATACTTCAAAAAATTTATTACAGTAAAATGCACATTGCCATGAATCCTCCAAATACTCCACCTACCTTCAAACAGTTTATCTCATTGTTCTTGCCACTTTCTGAAGCAATTCTAGAAGTCGTCCTTCCTGAAGGTCTTTAGTTGCTTTGTCATGGCTGTCTCACTGTCCTGAATTGATTCAAAATGTGTAAGGCAAATTTATGTCAGGTGAAAACATTATGTTGTGTCGTTCTCCACCCTGTGCACTGACTGGATCTGGTACTGCATGACTTCTGGCTCTTCCCTACAGTAAAAATGACCATGGAGGGTAAATGTTTTCAATTGATTCAGGACATGTGAGCAGCCACAGCAGCATAACTAAAGATGCTCATGAAAGAACTTCCAGAGCTGCTTCAGGAAGTGACAAAAAGTCGGGTATGGTAGTGCACACCTGCAATCCCAGCACTTGGGGGCTGAGAAAGGAGGCTTGCTGCAAGTTCAAGATCTGTCTGGGCTATGCAGTGCATTCTAGGTGGGCCTTAACTGTATAGCAAAGTCCATCTCAAAATAAAAGGGAGGGGGGATAAAAGCAATACAGTAAGTGTGTGCAGAATGGGGAGGAGGGTTTTGAGGCAGAGATCACTTCAGCAAGGAGATCAATGTGTGGACGGTTGCCGCTCAGAAGTGGTACAGCAGAAATTCAAACTCAAGTCTGTAATTCTGCAGTCCTTACTGTATACACTGCTGCTTTTGAGGCAAAGAATGAAAAGGTGGGACAAGGCCATATATAGGCAAACAGAATGAAAAGTGATATTGTACAGTGGTTTAAAAGGTTTCATTTAGTTCAAAATTTCATATAAGTAATAAGGGAACCTTTACACGTTTCATGTGACATTGGGTAGAAATAGACTTGTATGGTGAATTTAGTAACCACATGTAAAAGAGGTAACTGTAAGGCTAATGATTAAAAGGATTACCTGGCCTCTCAAAGAAACCGCTTTGTCGTCCTTCATTTTCTTTACCTCATACACACTGTTGCTATCTTCACCAGTAATACTGTGTTAATTATAAGCACCTTTACAGGAGGGCTTGTGCAGCACTACCTCCCTGTATACATGGCAGTGCTTCGCATATTTTTTTCTCTTTTTTTCTTTTTTTTTTTTTTTTTTTTTTGTATTTTAGGGAAGGGTCTACAGGGTGTTCAGGGTCTCACTACTGGATTGGACTCATAGTGATCTGCCTCTTTACAGCCTTCTAAGAGCTGGGATTACAGGCATGCACCACCATGCCCAGTTTCAATTGCTGTCTCAGTGTGCCCTGGGGGTGGGGCCAGCACAACAGGCCCGGGGATTGAACCCCTGGCCCCTGCACCTGCTTGCAGGGGCTTTAATCCACTGAGCTATTTGGCTGACCCTGCATATCTATTCAGAGTGATGAGTCAGTGTGTCGTGAATGAATGAGGGACCAGGATTAGCTTCTGTGCTGCTGTGGTTCTTAAAGTGGAGATCAGACTGCCTGCAGTTAGCTGAAAAGGCCGGAAAGTGCTTTAGGCAGAGAGAGCTGTGTGCAAAGATGCTGGGTGGGAAGCTGCAAAGCAAACAGGACTAACATCCTGAAGGTCTAGGCCAGCAGGAGTGAGAGGAGGTGGATCAAGGGGCTGGTCCATGAAGGGCCTGAGTGATCATGTTTGTCTTCATACCGGGCATGGCTCTTCACATCATCAAAAGCTTTCCAGCAGAAGGGTGGTACCATGTGAGTTCAGGGAGTCACTACAAACAGAACCAGTGTGGATGTGGGTAGCTGAAGAGCGATTGGCAGTTGTCCACAGGTGGTGGGAGCTGGAACTGTGGTAGGAACGTGCAGTGAAAGCGGACCAATGAGAGATACATTTATAGGTACAGTGACCTGTTGATAGCGTGGATTGAGGGGAGGGCAAAAAGGACTCCTGGGTTTTGGGTTTGAAGTGGAATGGACAGTGTCATTCTTTGAGCTAGGGAGTAGCAGGCAGTACAGGGGACTGAAATTGGTTTCAGTAAGAGACAGACCATGCATTAGATGTAGAAACCCCAAAATACCTTTGAGACAGCTATCACAGAGGCAGTTAGATTAATGGGTGAAACTCAGAGGAAACATATGGCCTAGGAAAAGGTAAAACATGTTTTGCTTTCATATAGGTGAGAATTCTGGCCCCACTTGGGTGGTAAATGTTCGTGAAATGCTCATTGACTAAATAACTTCATTTTAAATATTTTCTTTTCTCCTAGGAGCTATTCATCATTAATGAAAGCTGAGAATATGTCTTCAAATCAGGTGTGTTCAAGTTATATGCTTTAATGTACCTTGAAATAATTCACTAGCATTTTTAATAAGTGAGTTACTGGCCACAGTGATATTATAAAGCACATTCCGTGGTTGAAAACTGTTGTGCTGTGCTCAGGCTGAGTTCTGATAGGCATTGCCCCATTTCCCTGTTGACTTTTCTCATATGTTTCAATAGCTCATTTTTTTTGGTGCTAGAAGTTGAACTCAGGCCCTTGCGCTTCAGGCACTTGTGCCACTGAGCTCTATCCACAGCCCAAATAGCTTACTTTTAAAATTTTTTTTAATTTTTTTTATTACATTTATTTATTTATTTATTGTGTGTGTGTGTGTGTGTGTGTGTGGCCAGCTCAGCCCACCAGGGGGCGGGGCTGGCTGGCATGTGGTGCTGGGGATTGAACCGGGGTCCCTGTGCTTTGCTAAGCTTGTTCCAAGTAGGTGCTTTAGACCACTGAGCCATCTCGCCAGCCCCTAAATAGCTTACTTTTAGAAAGACATTGTCATTCTGTGTTTACTGGGAAGTACAGGCCCATTAGTATACATTAGAATGTGCTGGCCTTCCACTGCTATAACAAAATACCTGAGATGATTTTTTAAAAAAGTTTTGTCTGACTCACTGTTTGGAGATTTCAGCCCATGGTCAGTTGGCCTCACTGCTTTTGGGCCAGGGGAGAGGCAGCCTGTTGTGGTAGAAGCAGCGGCAGAGTAAGCTGCTCACCCCTGGCAGCCAGGAAAGGGGCCCCATTGTACTTCCACTGCCAAGCCCTGCCTCTTAAAAGTTCCACCTCTAGTGCCTGGAAACCAAGCCTGCAGCCCCTGGGCCCCTGGGGCCAGTCCAGATCCAGCCTGTAGCACAGGACTCCCCCGTTGTCAGACCCACAAAGTGCCCTGATTTGTTCATCTGTGACTCGATTCTACAGTGTAACAGCAGGAATAAAATGATCACCTTCATGAAAAAGAAAGTAAACGTTCTAACCTTGAGTTCTTATTCTGGAGCCTAAGTGACAAAATTGGCTGTTTTCATGTTCCTGGCACTGGGGAAATGGTGATCCATGGCCTAGTGCCAAAGGGATCTTTTTTTTTTTTTTAAGTATTATCTTTTATTTAGTGTGTGTGTGTGTGTGTGTGTGTGTGTGTGTGTGGCCAGCTCAGCACACCAGGGGGCGGGGCTGGCCGGCATGTGGTGCTGGGGGACCGAACCGCGGTCCCTGTGTTTTGCTTGGCTTAGCTTGTTCTAAGTAGGTGCTCCAGACCACTGAGCCATCTCACCAGCCCCATTGGAATAAGGATTTTTTTTTTTTTTTTTGTTCCTCGAATGCCTTCAGGGCACTTTTGGCCAGTGGGAAAGTTGTGAGGTTCGAACTCCAGCAACCCGAGGCTGACAGCTTTGTGGAAGCAGCCACTTAAAGGCCTGAGCTAGGGACAGGCCCCCCAAAGGGATCTTTTTAATATCCACACCTGTTTCATTGGAACCGAGTTAGAGACTTGCAGACTTCGTTCCCCAGTTATGCCGCAGTGTCAGAGGGAGCAAATTGAAGTGTTGAGTGAATAATAGTCCTTAGATGAAATTGAAACTGTGAATATACTTGGAAGTTGCAGGTTTTATTAAATAATCTTAAAGTACATACTTTAGATTGGCACTAGGTCATGTGCGAGCTATTAATTGCATATGCTATTTAAATTAAGTAAAACCACATTAAAACTTGCATTCCTGGGGCTGGGGAGATAGCTCAGTAGAATAAGCGCTTGCCTGGCAAGCACAAGGGCCTGAGTTCAATCCCCGGTTCCACCAAAAGAAAAAAAAAGAAAAGAAAGTATCTTTGTACATGTTTAGAACAGATCTTTTAAAAATAGTATTTTCCACCTGCATTTGTATGCACAGATGCAGAAGTCCAACTGTATACCACATGTATATGAACACCATCTGATTAGTGACACGTGCTAGTTTCAAGACTAAGAATTAATTTGCAGACCTAAAAATTACCACCCATGCTACCCTGCTCATAGTCTGTTTCTTCATGCCCGTGTACCTGAGCTGTAGGTTTGAGTTCAAGTTCTGAAGGAAATTTTGCATTATTTTTGTTTCTCTTTAGTGGACAGACATATCTCTCCTCACCCACATTCAGAAGGAAAAGTTTTAATTCTTCTTGTAATCGTCTTCTGTTAGGAAATACAAGCTTTATACTTTAATTTGGCAGCATGGTCAGTTAATTTTTTTAAGAGAATACAAAATGGTAAAAAGAAAAAGAAAAAGAACTAAAGAAATGGTACAGCATTTCACTACAGTTAATTTTTATTCAAGGGCTGTTTATATAAAATAAAGACTTGATTGTTTCATTTATACAAGTTTATCAGGAAGAATACTTTCACTCTGAAGTTGATTTTAACTTTAAATTATCAGGCTTCTATTTAGGATAATCTCTTCAATCCATCATTTCTTTTTAATCTTTTTAAATTTGTTATTATGAATCATAAACAACTACTTTATAACATTCCTTTGGTTTATCAGCTTATACTGGGTAACGAGAAACCTAGTTGTTAAATTGAAAAGCATATTGACTCAAAGTAGAAGGAATCTAAAATAGGAAAGTTGTCCAAATAGTCTCAGATCTCAGATAAGTAGTTAAAATTTTCTTTGATCCCAGAACATAGACCCTCAGACAAGCAGGACCTCTGTGGATCTCACTGAGAACCTCTGTAGGGAGTAACACAATGTGGCTGTCACCAGCCCAGAAGTTGTTCCCCCCAAGTAAGTAGGTCAGAAAGCTGATGCTTGGAAATATATGGCGACCCTTTCAGACAATGTAGATGCTATTACTTGAGTTGGGCACTCTGGGACAGTCAGCCTTGTGCCTGGACCGACTCCAAACTGTCTGCTCCCTGCCATTACCTGAGGCACCTGCATCATGGCCTCTGTGCCTTGTGCTAATGGAAGAGAGGCAGAGAGAGAGCCACTGAGGAAAGCTGGAGATGAACCCAGACTTCCTGGCTTGCCACTGTGTTGTACCTACTCCTGGCCTTTCCCTGCCATCTCTAACAGAGGTTGTCACGAGAGGAGCATGTGTGAGCCTAACCTCTCACCATCACTAACAGCACTGGTGTCAAGATAAAACTAGTGTACTGCTCAGGTGACATTGTTAGGCCAGTGTACCAGGCCTCTGCTGGTGAATGTGGCAGAGGAGCCTGGCATCCACATGGGTGCCTGTTCTTCGGGACTATCATAAACCACAGAACAAAAATCGGTCCCTTTACTCTGAATGCCATTACAGAAGGTTTTTGTTTAATCAAAATTGGCAAGCTGGCCAATTTGGTAGCTACATTATACTTGGCTTTCTAAGGACTTTTCAAAAAAGAAAAGGGAAAAAAAGGGAAAAGAAAAGGAAAGAAAAAGGGAGGGACAGAGGAAAACGAAGGAGAAATGAGGGAGGAAGGGCCATAATAAGGCCATTGTTTGAAGGCTGGGGTGACTCAGTGGTAGAGCACTTGCCTGCTGTGCAGGAAGCCCTGGGTTCAATCCCCAGTACTGCAAAAACAAACAAAAAACAATTCAGCAGTCTTGGGGTTCAGCAGACTGGAGTTTAGGTTAGCTGTTGGCATAAAACTATTGAGACAGTGTGTGTTCAGTATAGTTGTTAAAGGATTAATCATTCGTTTTTCAAAAAAAAAAGTTAATGTCCATTTAAGGTACATACCATGGTAATATAGGGTACATGTGCATGGTAAAAGTTATTGTAGCGAAACAGATTAACATCCACCATCTCATAGTTACTCATTTAAAAACAAAACATGAGTTTCATGCTAGGTTTAGCCACTATTGTACAAAATCACGTTTTCCTACAGTCCCATTTATGACATGAGGGCTGGTGTCATCATTTGGGAACCATGTTAACTCAGTGGTGTGACTCAGTGGTATGACTCAGTGGCACCTGCTAGCCCAGAGGACTAATAAAGATGGACAGGAAATGAGCGAGTTTAGTCCTTTTTACTTTCTGCACTCTGAGAATGAGGGATGGGACATAGGCTTGTCAGTTAAGATTCTAATTGTAAATTTAAAGTATTAAGTTATTTATTTGCAAGGCTTTTATAGTTTCTCTATTTTGTTTCCTACAGGACGGCAATGATTCAGATGAATTCATGTGAAAGGAGAAAAGGACTTGAAAGATGTGAATGTAGAGACCATTGCAGACTTTTTGATTTTGTCTTCATTCTGAATTTAAAAAACAACCAAAATTCTGCCTTCATTCTACACGGAGATTCTTTGTTTTGAGTTTTAAAAAAGGTTCTCTGTTTTTGCTGAGAGAAAGGGACAGATTATGTGTGTGTGTGTGTGTGTGTGTGTGTGTGTGTCTGTGTCTGTGTGTGTCTGTGTGTATACTGATGAACTTGAAGATGACATATAACTTTAGGAAAGTGAAAATATTTTTGCCAGATCATGTCTCAGTGCCTCATGGAAGCCGACTGCCCTTGCTCTTGAGATAGACATTGGAACAGACCAACTCTGAAAAGTATCTGTGTGGCTGTGGTCCATCCCTGAAAACAGATGTCTTGAAATGCTTTCCATGTCCTAAAATATCTTCACTTTTGCTAAGAAGAATGTGTTTGTGGGCAGTTCAGGCCTATGTTCCTGTTTCTGATTTCCTGATTAAAAAAAAAAAGAAAAGAGGGATATAGGTTTGGAAGATGATAGTGATATTTCAGAAGACTGCTGGCTTCAACAGCCACATTCCCTCGTGTCGTCTGATTGTGGTGGTGTCGTGCCCCTCAGCTCTTGGCTTGTCCCCACTCAGAGTTGGGGCCTCAGGTTTGGTAGTATCATATTTAAAGAAATAGTTGGTCTATTAACGTGGCCTTGTGGCAGTTGTTCCCTGAGCGCCAAGTGACCAGGGCCACAGATGGAACAGCTTCCAGTATCTGGAGTCCAGCCTCAGCACAGAGGGAGACAGGAAGGGATGCTCTGTGAATTGTTTGGGAGACACAGGTGACCTGACTTTGTCTTTGGATATAGCATGAATCAAAAGCCCATATTGGATTACAATTTTAGAAGAAAATCAAGCATTTCTGTAGTCAGCCAAGTTGTTCCTTTCCTTACCTTGGAATAGATTGAAGTTTTGTAACCCCAGAGTTCTAATTTCTCAGTTGTAGACTCAGTAACTGAATATATAATTACTGCTTGTCAGAAACACCTGCTGCCCAGTGTGATTCTGGCCAGTAGATAAATTCTTATTTCACTGTGTGAGGCGACCGAACACAGGTGGCTGGATAATAAGCATGCACATTTACATTGTAACACTGTCAGGACGCTGCCCACAGCACTGTTAGCTAACACGGCAAAAAGGGTCTACACTAAACCTTCTAGCTGTTGGAGCACTTTGGCTCTGTGGGTGAAACCTAAAAGACCAGTGGTTCCATTTATGCCAAGTTGGCGTATGGGGTTGAACTGGAAAATTCCCTGAGGCATTAGTCATTAGCCCAATTTTGAGGGAGTATGGAAGACAGCACCAGAGACCACAGAGAATGTGTGTGTGTGAATGGTACTTAGACTTGAGTTACACAATTAAAAAATATAATAAAGTATCTTTTTTAAAATCTGGATGGACACTGATATATAAATTCTTAGAATTTACTTTGTAGAAAATCCCTAACCCAGGGTGGAGAGTGATCTTGCTGTGAAAGTACATTTATCACAGGCTTGTTCTGCAAGCCCTGAGCATCACGCCTGCCAGGGGAGTGCCAAACCCTGCCAGGCTAACCCATTCTGCCATGTTCGAGAGGAGTGTCCTTGCTGGGAACTGCCTGCCTCCCCAGACGCCCACTGTGCCCTGGGGGCTGGCCTTCCGCAGACATTCTAGGTTGCCTGTGCACCAGCAGCTGTGCCGTCCCTGTCCCTCAGCCCTGTGCCTGGTGGTCATTGCTGGCACTGCTGAAGCACTGGGTAGTAACACCACAGGTTCCTTTGTGCGCCACAGGGCACCATATGGCTAGAGCTTCAAGCATAAATAGTTCTTCTCTCTACTGCTTCAACATGTCTAGGCCTCTTCTGAATTCTGAGTTGAACTTAGGGCCTCACCTCCAGTTCTAGGCTGATTTCCTTCTACTTGTGTTTTATTTTGTATGGCTCCCTTGGTTCTAGGAGAAATCAGGAACCTCTTGACATGCAGGTTCCTGGATGACAGGTCGGACTCTTGGCATTGAAGTCCTCTTATTTCTTGCCATTGGCATATTTCCCAAAGTTTTGATGAGAAAATGCATTTTGTACCGTATACGGACCATGTCTCTGATCACATCTGTGCAACCTGAGCTGTGGAAGTGAGGCCCCTCACCAGCTCTGTCTCTTAATTTCAGGTGAGGGTTGCATTGTTAGCCCTTTAACTTTACAAACTGCTCCTGTTCTGTTTGGACAGCTTTAGACTTCCCATTTATTTCCTGCTTTTGTCTGGGGCCACAATCCTTGGGCAAGGAAGGTTTGCCAGCGCTTGTGTTGGGACAGGTACTGGAAAGTTTGCCAGAATATCAAGGATTTTGACAGACTGCCACTCTTCTGTTGAACCCTGTCAGCATCCTTTTGTGTCTTGTGTTGCTTTTAGCTGGAAGCATGGATCTGTAGTGAGCCTTTTAACTACTTGGTGCCAATTGTCCCCCACTTGGGAAAGATGGTGTGAGCTATGCATAACCCCAAGATGGGGGGTCGGGGAGGACACAGCTCCAGCGCCCAGTTGGAGACTGAAGCTCTACCACCCACACCTGCATCTGTCTAAGAAGAGGAAGTTCTCTTTTCTGAGCTGGAACAGTTTATAAGGAAAATTGAGTAGGGCGGTAAAGGAAATTTTCCAGTTTTTCCTGAGTCATAGTATTGAAGCCTGCTTTTTTTGGTTCAATGTGACATGCTGCATGTGCATGACAAATTCCCCATATTCAAAGGGCCATTTAAGAGTGTGCAGGGCAGCTTTTGGTTTCAAAATAGACTATTAAAAAAATCAAGCTATGATCAAGATCCAAAATTAGAAACAAATACCATGCTGAATGTCAGTCTTGACCCTCGTCCAGGGTGTGGCCGCTCAGGAGACTAGCACAGCTGTGGCCCAGATATGTTCACGCTCATGCCACACAGCACAAGAGCTGCTCTGCCAGGCACACCTGAGTCCAGCGAGACGTTTATTGCCTCTTCATTGCAAAAAAATAAAAATAAAAATGATGCCAGCCACAGATACAGTGTGTCCTGGGTGATGTGTAAAAATACAGTCTATAGTTTGAGTAGGTCTCAAAGTTTGTGCAGTTTCACCCAACATCTGTCTTCCAGAGCTTAGTCTCATGATGGGAATTGGTTCCTGGGTTTAGGTGACTAGGGAGAAGGAGCTTCTTGTGCTCCATGTCATGAATGAAACTTTTCAGTTGCTTTTGCAGAAGAAGGAGCTAACCAGTGAAAAGATCTCCTAAGGTTTCCAGGAGGAAGATTGAAGAACCTGAGGCTCAAAGCCTGCATCCGAGTGCTAGTGCTTGGAGTTTGTAAGCTGATCCCCTGTCCTCTCCTCTCCCAAGTTCCCAGGGATCTGCTTGAAATTGAGACTGATGCTTTAGTCTATTTAGTGCAGCTATAGCAAAATACTTGAGGCTAGGGGCTTTATAAGAAGTTTTATTGGCCTGTGCTTCTGGTGCTAAGATGGGCTAGAGAGCGTAGTGCTGGCATCCTGGCAAGGCCCCCAGTGGCAGCATCACAGTATGGAGAAGTGGAAAGGGAAGCAGTTCCATGCAGGACAAGGTAAGTGTGCAGGGTGGCCTTGCTTCCTAACAACCCATCATGAAAACAAACCCATTAATACAGTGATGGGGCCGGGGAGATAGCTCAATAGAATAAGTGCTTGGCTGGCAAGCACAAGGGCCTGAGTTCAATCTCCGGTTCCACAAAATAAATGAATAAAGAAATAAAAACTGAGGTTGTATTAATACATTGATGAGGGTGGAGAGCTGCCATTGCCCAGTCACCTCCTGCTAGGCCCCATCTCCTTAGGGTTTCACCTGTGCCGTGTGGGCCAAACTTCAGCACTGGAACCATTAGCTCAAGAGCCATATCTACAACAGCAAGGCTGATTGTGCAAATGTGAAGACTTCTGGAGTGGCTTCCGTGATGAAGGTAGGGTCCTGAATTAGTATCTTCTACAGATTTTATCCTCTGGTTATAGAGCTTACTGTAATGTTTACTTAGTGTTTGTGGAGAGTTACAGTAATAGGTTTTTTCTCCCAGCTGCAAAAGCATATATGGATTCTTAAATGTTTATCAGAGGACATTAGAGTTATTTTTCTCTAACAAGGGCACCTGTGCCCCTTGCCACTTAGCTGTCTTACTAGAATTCTGGAGTTTGAATGTTTGAGTAAATTATGAGGAGAAAGTAGTTTAAAATCAGAGACTTCATACGGGAAAAGGTAAAGATGCATGTATATACTAGGTGGACTTACCAGTACACTCAAAATACAGACATCTAAAGCCATCTACCCATGATTTATCATTACTTAATAGAACCCTCTGTCAAAAACCAACTGGTGAGGGCGGTGAGATAGCTCAGTGGACTACAGCACCAGCTTAGGCAAGCTCAGGGACTTCAGTTCCCTCCCTGGCACCACATGCTGCGCCAGACCCGCCCCCAGGGCGGGCTGAGGCGGCCAGAGTCTGGGCATGGTGGCGCATGCCTATAATCATAGCACTGGGGAGGTTGAAAGCAGGAAGATCATGAGTCTGAGCTGCATAGTGAGATCCTGCAACAATCAAATACATTAAAAAAAAAAAAAAAAGAAGAAAAAGAAAAGAAAATGGCTTATTTTGTCTGACTTCATAACTCTCGGTTGTTGGTGAAACTCCAAGCTTTCCACCTTAGTGGTGGTGCCTGTGCATCCACAATGTGGCCGGATGAAATAAAAAACATGTTCTCTGCCCCTGGCATGTGTTGTTGGGCACTGCTGACTCTGTACTTTCTGCATCTGTGACGAGTCAAGGATTGGTGGCCAGGGGAAATAATCGCTCGCTTTAGAAATCCATGCAGATTTCTGGGTTCTCAGTGAGTAGGTGTCAATATTTAAGACTGGAAAAAAGAAGGAATTCTCCAAAGTCAGTATTGTGTTTCCTTTCCACATCAACCATCATCTTGTAACCACTGCAGTAAAAATAGACCAGTGGCCTGACATTTCACATCCTGCCTAGCAGAGGCCTGTGCAGCCCAGGCTCCTGCTGTTGTTTTGCTTTCTGCCTCAGCAGTTTGCTTCACATACAGAAGGCTGACATTTGCTTGTGGT